GTATTTGTTGATTAATTATATTTAAGCGATCATTGATTTCATTCAATGCTGGTTTAAGTAAGATTTGAACTATTTGATCTGTTGATTTTTCAATTGATTTGTCAACGTCATCGTCATTAATTTTGACTATATTCGTAATTTCCTTCTGAATTGAATCATTCTTTAAACATTCACGCATCAGAAGCATAATTTTTTCTTCATTGATTGATTCAATTGGTTTTAATACTGATTCAGCACCGTGTTTATATTGAATTGAATTAACTGACAATGATTTTTTTAGCTGATTATCGTTAACAGTGGGTCTTGAAGATGATGACGTAATTTATTATAGAGAAAGTTTTATATACGTGTATGTATAGAGAAGAGGAAGAAATTATTCTGACATATACGCGTTCGATGTCTACATATGTTTTTTTTCAAAAAAAATAAAAAATAAAAAAAAAAATTTTTGGAATTTGAACTTCTGTTAAGCACCAGAAATTGGCAAATGAGAAATTCAAAAATCGGGCTCTGTTCACTCCTAGGCATAGGTGTTTACCACAAAATAAAACCAGCCCGAGCTCTCTATCATTCACCTGAAGTGAGAATTCCTGTGCATGGTAGACGCCTGTTTTAACCCTTGTTGTGACGCCCTCTCACGAACAGTTGCAAGTGACGCCAAAAAAACTTTCGTTACCACACTTTAACATGGTCAACATTTCCTGAAAGTTTGATTCAGATCAGACCTACTTGGGCTGAGATAGGTTTCTGACCTGGGGGGAGGGGAATTAATCCGACTTTTGTGTAGACCTACACAAATCTGAAATTTGCATAAATTCCAGTTTTTACTAAACAAATTAAAGTGATATGCAGGTTCAGTATGTTTTGGACATCCTTTATTTTTTGCAGTAACTTATATCGTATGATTATTTTGTGTAGCTGTGTAATTGTAAAGTCATCTATATTTTATAGTTTTTCTAAAAGCAAAAATGTGTTTAAGTATGAAACATAACGCAGATGCTATATTTTGTCAGTCATTTTTTACCTTAGATCGCAAATGACGATGTGTGAGCATTCAAAGAGAAACCGTATGACTGTTTCTGTTTTGCTGTATGCACAACAGAGGTGAACGGGTCGCAAGAAATATCGGGAGGCTCATGAGGCAAGACGAGGGATACCTTTTTAAAGGATTTTGGGATGAGGCGAAAGTTTGCGGGGCGAGACCAGGCAAAGCATCTCCACCTATCTGCAAAAAATTAATGTTTTCTGCTGATCTGTAGTCGAATATTGTATACCAGTAGGCGTACAGAAATAAGTTTTACTGGTGAAAATTTTCGTCCAAAAAAATTTATATCTTTTTATGAATGAACCATTGTTTCGCGTGGCGTACACCGTTTTTTATGAATTACAATGCTTGAAAACTGTTTTCAAGAGGAGGGAATCCGTGAGGCAAGTCTCACGAGGCAAAAGTTTTGAAAGTTTCGCAGAAGGCCAGCCGGAGCGCGAGGTGACATTTTGAGGGCGAGGCGAGACAGCATTGGAAAAACCGAGCTTCGTGCCTCGCTGATGCACAATACATTATTTGGTAAGTGCCTACTATACAAATCAAAATTCAACCGAGAGAATTTAACATGCATTTGGGTAAAATGGATTTCATGATTTCGGTCAATTAAAATGAATCTCAAGATCGATGGGACCAATCTTAGAAAATGGACCAGGAGTAAACTTACTAGAGGATAAGAAGACATACTTCCAGTTTTTACTATTTCTTACACTAGTAAAGAAACAAGTACGTGTTGTGTCTTATACCATTTACAGCTCGTCGAATTTCCTACAAAGTACCTACGTATGATAACTTGATCAGTAGGTTCAGCCTCTGTAGTTTTAGCCGTGGTACCAGTTTTGCTGGGAGTCCCTAGACTAGTATTAGATGACCTCGGATAACCTCTAAAGTAAATGGAAACATAGGTTATCCACCATACTAAGTCTAGTGGCAATGTTATTTTTCCAGGAAAAGGTAGAGAAACCTAGTGAAACTGAGTGTTGAGGAAAATCTACCAATTGAGCTATAACTGTACAAAAGCAAAATACTATAATCTCAAACAGATCAAACTTTTTGGGATGGTCTTCTAGTAGGGCAGACCCTCTAAACCGACTTTCCAATGATGATTTTCTAAAAATTCGAAATCGATTACATTTTCGCATGGTCCATGTTTAGGGTTATTCAATAAAAGGGATAAATAACAAAGAAGGTTCATTTTTTCTCTATTTCAGTATTATATTCTCATATTCATATTCTCTATTACAACTCTCTGCTGCAAAAATTCGAAGAGCCGAGAGCTAAAACATGCATCTCTCGTAGGTAATATGTTTGAAATCGGACATGAAAATAGAATAATGCATTCTTTATAGATATTTTCCTCTTTTGTGTTTGTATTGTGTTTCTGTCTGTTGTCGGAGAAAGACATTAAACGTCCTTGAGCCAATTAAGCTGAAAAAAGTCCTTCGGACTATTGTACGTACTAGCTTTGATACCCTTGCTTTTGCACATTATGGTACTTGGCAGTAAAATGGCCAGTTAGGTTGAAGATTAACAAACGCAATTTCAATTTGGCACGTTCTCGTCACTAAATTACTAGATTCATCATTTTACAATCAATTTTGTGTCGGTGTGGCCATCTCGATTCTCAAAAAATTAAAGCCAGAGCGCAAATGACCTCTGCGAATCTATTTCAGGCTAACACTAACTACCAATATTCCAGTAGTAATTTTTCACCACGAGTGATTTCAATGCATTAATCGAGCATTAATCAAAATGCTCTTGCAGTTGTTTGTTTGGTGGAATATACCAGGTTAGCAAACACAACAGTCAATCATGTCAACAATGAGAACATTCGAACGCAAAATAGAAATTTCTTTAATTAATGAATATACAAAGATACATATACTATAAACAACTTTTCTGGTGCCCAACTTATTTTTCTGTATTGAAAATGGGCTTTTTGTTAGAAATTACTTCTATTTTTTCACTCATAACAGTTACCCCTCAGTCGCCTCGCGAAAAAACATTCACATCTAGCATTTTTTTAGTCAGGCTGGGGCGGTGCTGAATCTCAGCCCTTTGTGGTACTATTGTTTCGCATCCTCGTTTTGTTATTTACACTACAATAAATTTCATTTATATCCTGATAGTTTGGGATAAAAAATGTTGCTGTCAAATTCAAATTTGATATTGAACGTTCTCGTTCAGCTGTGGAATAAAATGCTTGCCAAGTTTGACTTGATTCTTGCGTCCATTTTATGTTTTGTAACCATGTTTTAAAATCATTCTGACTTGTGACATTAGCGGTTAATCTAAACAGAGAGAGACCGGGGTGCCCAGAGCTAAAGAATATTGAAAGTAGACTAAGTACACCCAAGCTAACGCCACTTTCGACATGCTTTTTCAAAAAAGAAAACGGTTGCGGGCGCGTTTTTTGTTAAAATACTAGCAAGTGCTGCTTTCCAGCTAAAGCAGTTAATGAACCAGCTCTCGAGAACTGCAGTGCATTGGGCTACTAAAGTTCCTTAAAAGATTTCGAAGCAAATATTTGAGTCCGTAGTAAAAGTTTAAATGTGAGGGAGAAGGTGCTTGATACCTCAAACAGAAAATGGTAGTGCTACCCGCTTTGTTTGGACTCTTTACAATTTCAAATAGAAGCCGCAGACGTCATCAAGTTTTTTTCCTGCTCTGTCTAGTTATACCAATACACAAATTGAACACGTACGATTTATTGTATATTGTTTCCCACTGCCTTGTGCTTATTTTTGATACACATCCCGCCATATTAGTCATTTTTGGATAATACAGAAATACATGGACACACATTTCATCTTCCAGAGGTTCTCCACCCTAAGAAAAACCCAATTAAAATAAATAACTATTAGTGAAGAGCACTGAAGTATCTTTCTCTCTACATAACGAGAGACCGTTCCTGTCGATCGATTATCCGATACTTCTGGCTAATTTAATTCAGCTAATTCAGAAACCCTTTCTCGAAGTGGAAACGTTTGCCGATTCTCTCTAACCATTGTTCAAAGGTGTCTGTTGAAAGTTCATAAAAGCTGTATTACTTTCCCATTGTACAATTTTTAAGAACGTAACATAAATGAATTGCCTCAGGATAAAGTGCCAGCTTTCGAAAATAAAGTCTGAGATGGTAGCCACAGTTTTGGAATCAAGGAGTAGTATATAAGCGTTTGGGAATGAGATCAGTTAGTCTGAGGTATTTTGGAAAAAGGACGTTGAATTTTGCAAAATTAAAGTAGAATTTTTTTCATTTTCTCATGATTTAATTTTGTCATTTAAACTTACCAAGGTAATTGAAGTACTCCTTGTCGTTGAATATATACAACGTGTTGCAATTTCATCTCCCTAAAATAATGAAAATGATTTTGATTCTTATTTCGTAAATGAAATGTAGAGGACTGTACCGGATAGAGTTTAATTGGTTTGGATAAACGGTTCAAAAATTGATGGTTCGCATAGTATTGTTCAGCATTGAATAAGTAGGTTTGAGCTGTATTATTGCGAATTAATTTTGACCATACAGTTTGACCTAAAGAAGAACCGGAAGATGATCAACATATACTTTATAAACGAAAAAAGGAGTCATAGTCATTATGCTCTCAAAAAAAATCGTGACCATCTTCAATAAAATAGTTAGTAGTCAGGTCAAAAAATCAACTGCGTTCCAAATCAGTTACAATACAATGTTATTATGGAGTTACTCAATAATTTGCTGAGATTGCGTTATAGTAGTTGGCGAAGCTCGAATTTAGGTGTAGTTTCACAGTCAAACCACCATTATTTTCAGTTTTCCTTCTCCCATCATTCTACTACCATTGTCAGTAAAAAAAAAGAATGGACTCAGATGTTTTTTGAATAACGTTTGACAGAAAAGTGGTAGATGCTTGCGGTCTTCACTAATCGAAAGCTAGGACCTAAATGCAGCTTTTCATAATGAAAGTCATTTTCAAGATCTTTCCATGAAGCAGGTTTTTCAGAAGATCTTTGGAAAACCAGGTCATTGCTCAAAACCTTGAAATACAAATGGTTTGATTTTTTTTCATGGATAGATAGGCCAAAGTGTCCTCTTCAAAATGAGAGTCAAGCGAGACTCTCATCTTCGATCGCTCAGGCCTGGCACTGAATTTCCTGAGAGTCTCAAAACTGGTCTTTTCTCACACGTGAGAGCCTCACAAATGACTCTAGACAAGGGTTATCGA